TGACCTCTAATTATTTCTTGCTTTATGTATCCCTTAGCCCACATTGAAGAAAAAAAAATATTCCTTTTGGTGTAAAGTACGGAATGATACAAACTGGGTTTGTGCCATTGTATTCTGAGTATGCAGAATGAAATTTTAACACCTTTTTGTTCTCCAGAAATCRAAATGCTGTGATTGATGATTGAATTTCATGCATTTTGTCATGCAAAATGATACTGATGAAGCTGCTTTTGAATAATGGGCCCAACTCACTATTGCAATAGGGTGCAAAATCATATTGCTCAAGATTTTAGCTCTCTGATTACCAAAGTGCAAAAATTCTGGACATGCCATAAGCTGTAGAGCAGTCTAAAATCACAAGGTGTCATGTGGGATTTCTGAAATTTGTTCAGTGGAACCTGTGCTTTAATAGACCAACATTAATACTGCGCTCCCACTTTCCTGATGTCAGAGCATGCTTGGTGGAAGAGCTGGCTTTATGCTTGAGTGAAAGCATTCCACTTTATTTTCACTGGAGGAATTTTTAGCCTGGCAGCAATAGCTTGGTAATAATTGCCAGCTGTTCACTTGGCACAAAAGGGCCTAGAACCAAGAGGGAGAACCTGGTGCATTATATATGTAATTTACTTTTTCGTTAAAACTTGTAGGTTTAGGCTTCGTAAATATCAGGATCTGGTGTTTGGCCTTTGTGCACATCAGTCTGGGAGCACGTATGTGGAGCATAGCCTACAGATTTTAGTTTGGAGTACATTAAAGTAATTTCCAGCAAGTTCAGAAGAGAAATTATTCTGGGAGAGTCATATGTGGGTGGTCAAGAAATAAGGAAAGCCTTTAACGTTAAGCAGATGGACCTCCCTCATTTAAACTGTATTTTGGAAGATGCAAGTTTAATCATCAGCCTGAATATTGGATAGTATTGGCATGTTTTTCGTGTTAAAAGAACAAGGATGAATGTCCAAGGTATTTGCAATGTAGAAACTCAAAATAGAAAAGATACTCTTCTCTATCCTGAAGTCCAAGTGTGTCCACCTCTTTCCAGAAGTATGTATATAACAGAACTATTAAAACTAATCCTGAAAGGGATTAGTTTTATATCCACACAGGAGCACCAGTTGTACCTTTCTCTACCGAGCATTTCTTGACACCCAGTTCCACTTTTTAATATTTCTAAGCTTTAGCACCTCAAAAACTGCAGAATAGCACAGGAAGAAAGTGTGAAAGATTTAAGGGCACTGTTAACATCTTCTTTTCCTAAAACCTTGAACCATGTCTGGAAGTGGATCATATGGGACAAAATAACTAGCTGGTCTTTGTGGTCTCTGCTAGTTTGATTTTTAGGGGAGAAATTTTCTTATGATTCTGTAATTGGTTTGACCATAAGTATCTGACCAACAACTACTGACTGGGCGCTTGAGTAAATTCATGCCAGTAGTAGCTCTCTTGCATCTTGCTCTATATTTCATAGCACATGGTGGACAACCTCCAGGAAAAGCAGAGAAAACTGAAATCCAAACTCTTTCACCTGCTTCCATGAGGCAAGGGAATAGTTTCTCTCATTCTTAGGAGATCTTGGAGTCTGCATGAGCGTAGAGTATTAGACTGGTGTTTGGAAATCTGGATCTCAGTCCACTTTCAGATCAAGGAAGTGATTCTTTCTTTCTTGCACTTTTTCTCTGTGTTAGATAAGTTCTTTGGAGAAAGAGCTGTCTTACTGAAAGTCCTATATAGTAATTAAATGATGAGCTTCTGATCTCAGCCGTGGAATTACTGTCTTTAGTGTAATGTAAACAAATGCTACCTTACTATAATAAAGCACTACTTTAATGATACATTAACATAAGAGATTGGTGGCAAACCTGGTCTATTTTAAATGATCAGGAAAGCAATGTTTTGGTTAAAAGCAACAAGAAAAGCAACCTCCTGTAGGTATCTCMGACTTCTAGTTGGGAGCTGCCACATCAAGGGATTGTAGGCTATTTCTGTTCATAACATGGACATGAGAGCAAAACAATGAAAGAAATGAAGACACAACAGTGAAAACAATGAAGAAAGATGGAAAGGTGACGCAGTTCAAGAGTCTTTCCATGCTGGCTCTAGGCTGTTGCTGGAAGGAAGTCTTGGTTCTCACTTCTTGCTTCCCCTCCTTGTTTTGGTTGCAGAGCAGGAGTAGGGTTTGGTCTGTGAGCCTTTTTGATGCCACATGTGCATAACACCTGCAGTTAATGAGAATCTGCAAGGAGGTGGTTTTTTTTGTCTTTCCTTTCTGCTTTTGATACTACTTATTCTGCCTCCTCCTCCTCTCCAGGATGTACAGGGAAATGAAAGAGGGAATTTAGCCAAACTAATAGTCTTTTTTCCTTTCATGTACAGCCTGTAGGTCTTGGAAGACTAAGATTTGGTCTCTCTCACTTGCCAATCCACTAATGTTCCTTTGTATTTTCATGGTTCCCAGGCTTCTCAAACACAAGTTTGACTGCATGTATGTCATCTGCTTCTGCTTCTCACAGGTTTTGGTGAGCAGTGCTACTGAGCAGCCACCCCTTGTTCCATGAATCTGCTGCCTCAATTGCTTTAAGTGACAAAAAAACAAACTGGCTTTTCCACAGGTTGAGTGTGGGAAGAAGTCTCTCTGCAATGCCAAAATAACAGTGGAGGATGGCATTTTTTTTTCATGTAGATTCTTTTCCTCATAGTCATTCAGTGCCTGCTGCAAAATAAATKTAGCTTCAGAAAATGGCATCATTAAATTAGTGCCAAGTTGTCTCAGCAGAAGCAGCGAAACTGGGACGGCTCTCTGAAGTCTCTAGCTCTCTGAAATGGCTCAGGTGAGGTTCTGCCTGTAGGCAGAATAACATTAAGGAGCCTCTGTGCATTTGCCCAGGACTCTTATCTGTGTCCCTTATCTGTGGCTCTGAGTGTTCCCAAAGGCAATAAATTACCACTTGCCAGGCTTGCCTTTCAAAAAACAAATTCAACGCATAAAATTAACTCCAAATTGATGTCAAAAATTTTATATCAAAAAWTTTACAGGAGTGAACAGGTTTTATTTCTTTATTTTTAAGTAGGTTGTATCCTTTTCCCATCTGTGGGGAAGTGCTGGTCCCGCAGGGAAGCTGGAAGAGTTGCACGCTGATGCCTCCCAATGACCAGTTGGAAGCAGCACACCATGTGTAATTCAAAAACTCGTCACTTCCCCTACTCATAATATCCTAGTGAGATCATCTTCTTAAGCAACTCTTAAACTTGCCGTGCAAGTGTCTTTGTGTTATATTCTCATTTAACGCTGTGCAGCGGCTGCATACTTACCAAGCGAGGGGGAGCAGCTGCATCATTTGAAGGCATGTGCATGTAGCCAAGAGCTCTTGTATTTTTAACACAGTAGTAAGAATTCCATAGAAGCTGGAATAATACCTAGTGCCCYGCGAATCTTAAAACAGAAAAAGTTTTGGTGGAAATGTGAATGTATGTAAAATTCTACCTATTATTGTACAGTAGCCCCCCTAAAAAACAACATTAATCTGTTGTTGTCTGAAGAGCAAGTTGTATTTTTTAAGGAGTATATTCTGAGAGTGTTCGAGTTTTTTCAAAAAATAGATTCTCTATGTGTTCCTGCTTCGTTGTCTTCTTGTCTTCTCACAACTGTATTTAAAAAAAGGCTCTGTGAAGCAACACGTTTCTGGGCACCAGTAAAAAAATAAAATTCTATTTTCAGGGATAGCCTAGAAGCCTCATGGTAAGAATCACTTTCCAGAGATAGCRATTTTAGTTCAAGGTTGACAATTGATCTTTAACCTGTTCCGGATAGTTTAAAGTGCTTGTTTAACACAGGGGTGGTCTGCTGATGCTAGTCCTTTTGTATGTTTTTCTCAGTGGAACTTAATGAGATTACATATATTTTGATGAATAATTGCTGCCGTGTAAATTTGCCACCTACCTACAGTGATTCTTATGAATATTTGATGATAATAAGTAGTGGGAACTTCACTGTGATGCTCAAATGTGCTTAAATAAGAAGTAGCACAGGAATAGCTTTTGTTTTGTTCTTTGACTTGTGGAAAAAAATGTATGGCACTTGTATATATGTTGGTAACTGTAACACATCTAAAATACTTAATGCTTTCAACACTAGTAGTTTAAATCATAATTCTATCTCTTTGCAGGGGAAGGAAGGATTCAGAAGGGGAAGACACRTTTTTCTAACATCTCGATTAACTTGGGGCAGGGTTGACTGGTTCATCTGATATTTCTAGCTATGAATTAGTAGTTGAGAAAGGGGAAAAATGCACTGGAGTATATTTGTCATTTTGCAGATGCAGCCATGTTCTTCTTCAAAACCTAAAAATAGAATCTTTAGATCAACAATTTAGCAGACTTCTGTGCAATGTATTTCGTCTATCCAGTATCCCCACATAAAGCTAATTTGTCTAAACAGTGCTTTTCTGTCATCATGCAAATCATGCCATGTCTGTCAATAGCAGGCACCACTTCATCTGGTGATCCCTTCATCTGGTTTATTTCTTTGCAGACAGTGCAGTTTGTTCTGCACCTGTATCATTTTTCAAGACATTCTTATGTGTATGGAAAATCAGATTCCTGATTTAATTGTATTGAATTGTGATAATYTGCTTTTGTTTGCATATTTGAAAGTCACTAGTTCCATTATTAAACTTACTTTTAGCAGCATATTCAGAAGGTAAGCTACTGTTTCCTAAGTCGCCATTGCTTGCTTTATTTATTTATTTTCTGAGACTTGCAGGGTCTGCTAAACTGCTGTTTTTTTTTCTCACTAAACTGGTGTAGCAACACAAGCAAGAACTGTCATGCATAGTTGTTAGATGCTTTTTGTGCTTAAAATAATCTGCAATTGTGGCTACTAGAATTGTTTTTTCTAGTACTTCCTGAGTATCGGGTGTAAATTTGTTAATGTATATATATATATACACACACACACATATATATACTTGAAGGACAGTACTTTACAGAACTTACTTTTCTTTCAGGGAATCAGTTTCCTCCTGTTGCAGCTCAAGATCTTCAATTTGTTCTGAAGGCTGGATACCTTGAAAAACGCAGAAAAGGTAAGTTTAGCTAACTTTGTGAAGAATATTTAGGGGTAGCTTTTATTTTGGGAAAGTCTGTGTGTATTTATATACAGAAAGAACATACAGAATCGATAAAATGAACTAGAAGTTGAAATGTKGAAGCATTAGTATCAAAAAACCCAGCAAATAACTTCTACTGTAGTATTAAAAGAAAATCTCTTTTCTTTATTGACTGAAAAAATCATGCTGTTAAAGTCCAGTGTCAGCTATAATTCAGACACTTCTGGATATTTTTGAAGAAAACATTAGGAACGTATGCAAAAGTGCCATATGTTGACTTCATGTTTCACTGAGCATCAAGATTTATTTTCCTTCAAAAAGGCAAATATTGATCTCAGCTTCAGTTCAGTCAATATTTACCTAGGTTCAATAAATCTTACATTGTCACCTTAATACTCACTTAATGCAGCAACAACCCTAAGAAATATTTAGGAAGTTGTTCATAATTTCCATGTATTTAATGGCACATTTTCTTTTTATATGATTTCAAATTTCCACTCACCTTCAATTTTTCCTTAATTTCCTTCTCAGTTTTATACTTTTCCCCTCCTTCATATCCAGACTTTGTTTCCTTTCCATAGCACTTTTCCTGTCTCCTCCTCCATCCTCTGTCTTCCCTCACCCTTGAAAGAAGTAACAAATTTGTGTTTAATAGTGCCACAAAGTTTTATAACACAAATTATATTAATTGCAGACCACAGTTTTCTYGGCTTTGAATGGCAGAAGCGTTGGTGTGCTATCAGTAAGACGGTCTTCTATTATTATGGAAGTGACAAAGGTAATTATAATAATTATGATAAACTATTAAAATGTTCTTTTAATACACAGAAGAGTATGAAAGCTTTACCGGAGCTGGAAACTGAGAAACTAAAGTCGTTTTGACAGAGCAATGAGCCTTTTAAGTGAATTGTTGTCTCTTAAAGAAAATGTTTCCATTCTCAAAAGCAAGGAAACTGAGGAAGAAAGATTAAGTTGCTTGTAAAGCTACTTGGTGTGTGGATAAGAGCTAGCTATTAGGTTTGATAGTACTCTAGTGCTTAATTAATCTACTAGACAGCAAATGTGCTTTTTTTTTGTCCAAATGGGATTTTCATTTTAAAATACCTTCTAGCAATTACTCCTTACTGAGCTCCTTAAAAAGTGGTTCTCTCCAAGAAAATGTTAAGTCTAAAAATTGCATAGTGGCGTTCCATGTTTCTTGCTAAATTGTTTATGTTCGGGAAAGGCTAGAAATTAAGTAATATGTTTAGCTAAAAGTCATTCTGAAGACCAGCTAAAGCTCGCTCTGAAGGTAACTTCTAATGACCAGTTTAGAAAGAACCTTACCTAAACAATGGGATATCACGTTGAACTTCAAAACTGACAATCAAATAAAACTTCCTTTTAATTTTGTGCTATGTATATTTGATATTTTGGAGTAAAACAAGTGATATAGTTTTTTAGTAATTCTTAGAAATGATGTCTTTTTTTCCAAAAATATTTTTTCTGAATAAATCTTAAGCTTTTTCTTCTGCTTGTATTTGTGTGACTTTATGTGAGATTAGTAAAGATAGTCTTATTCATATTAATTCAAAGACCAATTTAGTTTGATATGGTTTGTTTCATTCCTTGTATGCTGCTTCATTTAAACTTAACTTGTCTTTAAAAATGAAGTAGAAAGTAAGTCATGGTCTTACCATATCTCAGTTACCTTGGATGTGTGAGCCCAGTTTTCAGCTGCTACAGTTTCTTCCTCAAGAGCTGTGCTCCCAGAGATTGGATAGTATTTTCTCCCAAGGGTTCCCTTTTCTATTTACTGCTTCTTTGAGATTTACTCGATTAAACTTTGAAATTATAAATAATCTTTCTTTGAAACTTTTGAAGAGGTGTGGCATAATACTGATTTGTCAACTGTCATTTTCTTCTTTCTCTGAAAAATTATCTCATGCTTTTTTCTTAGGCATGGTTTTCCGGTTCTAAGTTTTATATTGTCTACAATTTAGAAACTTTGAAGCAAAAATAGATATTTTAAATTGTTAGTTTTTAAAGATTTTTCAGGGTTTTAAAATCTTCTTTGTCTTTTAACCTAATAATTTTTGCAAAAAAGTCAATGGCATTTTTGCGTATATTTTTGATTTTTGTCTATATTAATGATTATATATTCTAGCATATAGCAAGGAAGCTGCCCATCTCTCCTTTTTCTTGCTACTTTTTTTTCCCCTTTTGTAACAACTCAACTAGCGGGGCTACGTTGTAATTCCTAATATCTATGCTTAAAGTTAAGGTTCCCTGGCATCACTGAGTTAGCGTCCTATTAGGAACTTATTCTACTACGCTGTGGAATATCGTGTCTTTTTTTTTTATGATACTAAGGGTAAATGCTTTTGTTTATACATACATAGCTTTCAAAGACTATGGATTTTTGGGGAAGATCCTTCCAATTGTAACCTAATGATGTGGTGGAGGCATTTTTGTTAATGGAGCATCTGTTGGGAAGAAAGATACATACAGACGTGGGTCGACTCTCAATAGTAACTCATGGAGGAAGCAAACAAATCAGATACTGGAATTTCTGCCCTGCCTCCAGGTGTTGGATGCTGTTAGTGCACACAGATGAGCACAGCATGATGGAAAGACATTATCTCCCAGATCTGGGATGGCCAGGCCAGTCACTCCAGAGCTTGTGTACGAGAAAGAAGGACCTGTGCTATTTCCCTCAGCCTGGTGATGTCCAAGTTTATGAGGGTGCCTGTTCCAGTGCAGAAACAAATTACCAGCATTGCCTGGAAACTGGATAGCTTGGTTTAATACATTGTTTAGCTGCACATTTTCAGCAAGAAGAGGGTGTGTGAAGAGGGAATGCTGAGAAGGTTTGGCATTTATTTGCTGGAAGAACCCGAAACTACAGTCACTGCCTCTCCTGTGGCCAGCATGGTGCTTGCTGCAGTGTTTGGGCCTTCTMTTTTGCTGCCACCCTTGATGCGGTACCAGCCAACTTGGGCCACGTTCAGAATGCCGCTTTTCCCCCCAGCAGCTGTAGGGTAGTGGGGAAGGGTGCGTTGGATGGCACAGTGCACGTCGCTGCCACCTCCCAAATTGTTTGGATGGCAGCTGTCTAAATGATGTTGGTCTGCCCTGGTCTGTGCAGTGTCTGCGGACATTTTGTATCAGCTGGGGCCTGGTTACTGACAGATTCCAGAGCTGATTCGCACAACAGGAAAATTTCCCCTTGTCAATGTGGAACCGGTTTGAAGGGAGACGAGGGAGACGAGGGATTCCATATATGCTCACATTTATGCTACATGTGTCAACTTTAATGAGTAATTGAGTGCTAGTGTATATGTGTTGTGGAATGTAAAGCAGAGGGGTAGCAGGGATTTCAAGTTCTTGGTTGGTTTGTTTGGCCTTGTGGATGTTTTTAAATCTGGGACATGTAGACTGCTCATCTGTGAGGGATGCTTTCTATCTGATGGAATGTGTGTTTTGTTGATCAAGGTTTGTTTAGTATGTTTAAATATCAGTTTAAATGTAACTGACTGCTAAATTTAAGGGTATAGGATGCCTTTTCATTGGATTATGTAGATTTGTTCTTTTCAAAAGACTTCTAATTCTTGTAATCTTCTTACATTTCTAAAAGCTGCATAATATCATATAAAAAGTATAGTAATGTCTAAACCCTGCAAACTCATGGAAACAAAAGTTTCAGAACCATTTTTTTCAGACTTGCTTACTGTTTTTGGGAGGTATGAGGCCCACTCAGGCAAGTACGATACAAACTAAAGCCTGTGAAACTAAAATAAATGAGGTTATTCTGGGAACATTATTCAGATGAAAGAGAGGGAGATTATAGATTTCCTTTTCAATATTTGTGATACCTGCTGGCAAATGCCTGTCTCATTTCCCCTTTTCTTCACCCTTTTTGTGGTGAATTTACTGCAGCACTGGATAGTGAAGCAATGTTATTTATCCCTGAAATCTAGACAAGAGTAAGGAAATCATCTATGTCCTTCAGTTCAAGGATATATAGGGTAAATGAAGAAACAGGCCTCCCCTAAATAAGTGGCAGAGGTAGGTTTTGCGTGTGTGTATATCAGTGGCTGTGCCGCAGTGTTCATTGCCAAGATACAGCCTGTATCATTGCAGAGAAACACGTTCAAGTGCTAGAGACAGCACTGGTTTCCAGGAGCTTGTCAGCTCCCCCTTTCATAGTCTTTGCTTCCATAAGCCATTTCCAGTCCTCTTCGTTTCCGTCCCTACAGGAGCCCCCTCAAATGGGTGCTTGTTTGTGTGTCTGCTGTTCATCACTATGATCTGTCTGGCAGTACTGAGGTACTTGGGCACCTAGGTGGTGTGGCTTGAACCTTGGACCTCAAAGTGCATGTAAAGAAAGTGARTTTGTTGCTTTACAAGTGAATGAATTAATAACTTCATTTCCTTCTCCTCACTAGGCCACAATTTTATATGCCCTCCTTTCTCAGCAATCTGAAGAGATCAGCTAAATATTTAGCAAGGCAGTTACTGATAACATCTGGGTAATATCTTTCCCAGTTAATGGACACTAAAAATTTATATTCATTTTTATAAATTGAAAATGGTTCTGCCCGTAGTAAAGCTCTGAAGAGAGGAATAATTCAGAGGCCTTTTTAAGTCTTGGTTGATGGACATTTTTTAGCAAGAATATAACAGTTCTGAAAGTCTCTTCTGAATGGTGAGATAGTAATGAGCGGGCCAGTGGCTTCACTACTTCCATTTGGCRAAAGGTATATCTGCATATATCTGTATATGTATATACAAAAATACATATTTTTGTATGCACATTTATAAACAGCATGGTGACTGGAAAATATTAAGAGAGAGGAAAGCTGGAGCTGGATATGCAAGTCTCTTCCACTAACTCCCCTAGCCAGGGTACTAACATTCCTGCACCATCCTAGGCTTAYACAGTTCTCCCAGGAGCGAGGAAAGGTTCACAAGCCAAATGAGTAACTGCTGAGGTATCGTTTGGCTGTTAGCTCCAGACCTTCTTCCCTTAATCCTCCACCTCTCAACAAGCACATGATCAAAAAGATGAGAAAAACTCATTCAGTTTTGACTTGGTTTTTGATAAAATCCATTATCTAAATCTGCAGGAACTGTGTCAGCTTGATAGGACATTGCCATAGCAGGGCKTGATGGCAATCAAAGGAATCAGTCTAATTTGCACTGAGTGTTTTGCTGTGAGAATGTTAAATTCAGATCTCAAGAGATACAATTGTCATAAATAATGCATTATAAGGAAAGCAACCCAACCAAAGAAAAAATACCATGCAAGTTTTGATTCTCCCTGATCACCTGCATTTCAGTTGGGCATGTTGGTTTAGTGATWTAAGCAGATGAAAATATTGTCCTGAATTCTGTTTGTTTGCACTGTTGCTTTTTTAAATCCTGGGCTTTTATGCCGTCTGTGGCCATACATTTGCAATATCTGTTGATTTTAAAGGCAGTATAAATGTGCAAACAAGTAGTTCCAAATTTAATGAGGGCATAGGTTCATAGGTAAAGGAATCCTGATTATAATGTCTGATCACAAGATGCTACAAAATTGTAGTTAAAGTTTTTTACTAAAAAATTGAAATGCACATGATCCTTACCAATATATAATAATATATTCTAAATTATCTGGTGCAGCAGTGAAAATCTGGAAGAGGGAAAGACTATTACTTTCTTTTTATCTTATCCCAATCAACAGTCTAACTTACAGCATTTTCAGGCCRTTAAATCCAGCTCTTTTAAGATATCCTGGCATCTTTACAGTTCACAACTCCTGGACTGGTTGGTAGCTTTATTCAGTTCTCGTGGACAAGGGTTTGGCTCAATGATATTCTACTATACMAGTCTATCTCCAATATAAGCAATTTAAGTTGTTGCCCTGAATAATGTATTTCAATCTTTGCCTCTGTTTGTTCATTTTTTTTCATCTAAATTTCTTGGAGGACTAGATTAAACAACAAAAAAATTGCATTTCATGCTCACTATCTAAAAGAAAAGAATTCCTGTGCATGCTCCAAAAGCTGGAAAAGAAATTATCATTTTGGAAATACTACCACTTACTATTTTTAGAAAGCAGACATACTGCATATGGGAAAGTATGTGGAAGTACATTTAGCATGAAGCCATGTAAACCGTAAAATCTCAGAGACTCATGATCTGTAAAAGACGAGAGTTAAAGTATTTATAGATACTATTAGAATCTCTAATTTATCACTCCCTGAAATCTTACTGTTTGCCTTCAGTTCCTTATGCTTTTTTTCTGTAACTTCTTTCCTTTATGTCATCAGAGTCCTCTCTGTTCTTCAGCATGCATTAATTCTTTTTACATGGGCTATTAATATGGTCACATCGCCTTAGGCCTCAAATTTACAACCCAGTCATTTCAAGACCCAGTTGAAAGTTTGCCCTCCTTTGTTTTAAAAGTTCCCATGGACTCAGTTATGCAAGACTACTTCAAAACCTCTTTTTTTTTTTTTTTTTTTTTTGCTCTGATTCCTTTGGGCTTTTCTTTTTCTAATATTGGTCCCGTTTCCGTGGTTAACAGCGTTTCACTATTTTTGGAATGCATGAAATTTATATGGAGAAAAAAACATTTAAAGCAGCTCTCATTTCAGTCTAAGCTGTATTTTCTCAATTGAAAATATTCCCTCAATCTTATTTCTAAAATGTTGGTATACTCTATTTTTATTTTTTAAAACCTAGTGTCTGCTGCTCTGTTACATTGTTTTTTTTTACCATTCTAAATTCCTGATGCAGAATGATCTCAAGAGACACATTTTTTTAAAAACTGATATATTCCTGATATGGGTTAAAGGGAAAATGAGGAGGAAAATAGTGAATGACTCATTCTGAAATTAGATATGACCAAGATGGGGTCTTACCAATGTGTGAAGGGAAGATGCAAGGAAGATGGGGCTGGAGTCTCTGCAGTAGCACCAGCGACAGCACGAGAGGCAAYGGGCACAAACTGAAAGGCAGGAACGTCTCTCTCAACGTGAGGAAAAGCTTCCTTGCTGTGAGGGTGGCAGAGCACTGGAGCAGGCTGCCCAGAGAGTTTGGGGAGTCTCCTTCTTTGGAGATTCTCAAAAGCCGCCTAGCCAGGATCCTGGGCAAGGTGCTCTACGTGATACTGCTTGAGTGGGAAGGTGAGACTGGATGGTCTGGTGATYTCCAGCAACCCCTTCCAGCCTCAGCTGTTCTGTGAACTGTGGAAGAATTTGTGCTTAAAAATGTCCATGTTCTTTTTCTTTTTCTTCCTCTTTACAGGGTTCATAGTGTTATACTTTTGCTTTTGCTACACTGTTCTGTGATGTTTCATGTTGTGTGGCAACTTTAGGGCTTCTTGTTTTTAAATTGCAAAGCCCGAGCTTGGGAAAGAGGCGAAAAGATCCTGATCTTTCAGAAAAATGTGCTCTATTCATATGTCTGTCCCTTAGCCTTTTCTAATAAGACTTTCTATGATTATCTAGGAAAATCCCGGGTCTGATTTGTGGATTCAAAATGAAAGTGAAATCTCTATAATGGAGCTATGTTCCTTGGAGCCCTTGACACTTAAGGGTTCTGCCATTAAAAATTATGATRTCTAATTTTAGACTCATAGTAAAGTCCAGACGTTTTAGGATTTGTTAAAACTCAAAATTTAGCTATCTATTTAACTCTCACTAAAGCAGAAATATTTAGAATATATTTTTATTAGAAATTATATAGAATTAGAAATTCTATAGAATTCTAATGACAACTGATGGCAACACAACAGTCTTTTCTTTGGTGGAGATGCTTCCTTTGCAAAGATTAACGTGTGTGCTTAACTTTATATGCCCTGTGCTTCATTCAAAGTTTTCTTTGCTAGTAAGTGAAGCCGAGGTGGACCTGAGCCGTGTTCTCACAAGCTGGTCTTGCCTTCCAGCCTGCAGCTGGCTACAGTGCCAGGCCCTGTTGCTGTTGTGTGTGGTAGCCTGTCCATGGCAATCAGGTCGTGAGTTGGTCTCTAGCCCTTCTAGAAGGGGATGCTCTGGAAAAGCAGCGGGATTTGTAGCCCACCAGGCTCCCACGCTGCCGGGGCTGTTTCTCAGGACACACGAGGCCTTCTCCAGCTCAGCTGCTGCCAACAGCTCGGGTCCACGCTGAGGGCCTCTAACTTTAATGGATTCTAGCTCAGGGCTGGGAACTCTCCCACTCCCTTAGTTTGTCCTCGTGCTCTACAGATGTAGCACGTGCTACGTACTGCTCTTCCGGGCTTTCCTTGGCTTAGCTTATGCACAGGCCTGGCTGCACAGAAACAGAAGCAGCAAAGCCTGCGGTTSTAAAGGGCACTGGTGTAAGCTAATAGCAAAGGATGTACTTTTTTGTTGGTGCATGCAAGGATTTTTCATTAGCACTGGAATATGGGGAGTTGAAGGGATGAGACAAGGACGATATAAACCATAACCATAAAGCAACATTGGGTGCAATATGGAGAAAACTGCATTTTCATTGTGCTCAGAGTACAGCGGCTCTGTATTTTAGTTGTAATGCCCTCTGAAAGAGCAAGTACCACCAGTATGGAGAGCATTTGAGATTAACTCTGTGAAACCATATTACCATAGAAAGAGGATTGTCCCTGTGACAGAGAAATATTCTCAGAAATATTCCTAGAGACTAAATTTGAATAACTTGCCTCATTTTTATCTTGACAAAATGGTTTTACCTTTTGAACCTGGTGTTTGTTTATTCTGCCTGCGTGTTGCTCTCTTCTCGGGTTTTGATAAACCTCCAGCATGGGAGAGTGAGAAATTAATGCGTTTCACTTCATCTTCTCCCTGAGGTCATAAGGAAGAAGAAAATGTCTAGGCTGAAATGAATTTCATTAAAAGGGGACCTAGTTAACCTATTGCAGGTTATTATTTCTAATATCTGCCTTGGTGTGATTTCATGAATTTTGCATCTGTGTGCCGTTTGATACAGGGGTGGAAGATTGAGCAAACATAACATATGAGACATATGAGTACTGTGGCACCCTACTCAGTGAGGAGGTACTAAAACTTACTGAGGGGGAAGGGACAAGAAAATAGAACATCATTCTGTGCCTCGAATTTGCTTCTGTAATTCCATTATTTGGCATTTACTTGCCCTGGGTGACAATTCATAAACAGCGGGAAACACAGAGAATTTGTGACTATGTGCATGTGAGTTTACTGGCAGAGGATATATTTGGTGACTGCCTTTACATCCACTGTACCATGATGTCCATGTTGCTGTGTTAGTCTGGTTTTTGCCCTTTCAGAAGTGAAAAATAGATTTGCTTTTCAGTTAAGCTTCCCGATAGGTATCAACATTATTTTGAAAATCATAGTTTTTCTTACTTTCTGTGCTGTAAAAGCTTTTCCTTTTTGGTGGCATGTGGAAGCAATGAGTGCTTGGTTTGCATCTAAGTTATGTTCTGCAGTACTTAATTTGAGGTTGTCGTGCATGGTTGTTAATTAAATTTTTTTCCTACCTTGAAAAAAAGAAAAAGACCTAATGCCATTTTGTTTTGTTGGCATTTGCACTTTTGTTACTGGAGGCCTGAGCAAAATGCAAGTGATAATTATCTTAATTGAGTGCTACACCATCGTCTATAGGAATTGTAAAACTGGATTGCTTTTATTCTGTTTTGTTTTATTTTTAATATCCACCAAAACATGCCAGAACACATAAAATTAAATGGAGACATTCGTCTAAAAAGCAGCTTAGAAGGAACACACAGGTGCCGCCAGCCCAACATGCAGGATATTTAAATTCCGGCCTGTTCTAAGYGATAGTTTTATAAACCAGAGCCTTTAAAACTGAAACGTAGAATTGTCTTAAAGCAGCCACATGGCTCTGCATAATAAACTGTGGTAGGGCTCAGCACTTTTATTGGCTAATTAAACACTTGCTGCATTGCGAAGAATGTGCTCAGAACATGCCTGAATTTATAACAAAACTCATTCTTGCTTTTACCATGTGCAAGGCAGGCACATCTGGGAGTGGTTGGGCAAATGTGAAGAGAAGCTTTTGCAGTTGCTTAAAAAGAAGTTTATATTTTTGAGTAAAGCGGTTAGTTTAAGGAGGGAGCTCAGCAAGCTCCGAGCTAAAAAGGTTTTCCCTTTGGTTTACTGAACCTGAAAGAGGCACTGATATATAGAAAGCTTGTCTTGCAAGTTCCAGTTCTTGGCTTTCCCTAGATACAAGTGTCATAACATGCGCTTCTTGCTAAATAAGACCACCATCTGCAAACACCTCCCTGTGGAATTCCTTAGGCATCCTACAGAAGAATGTACTTTTGTGTGCATCTTCCTTTAAAATAAAGCTTTATCTCCAGAAGTATCACCTAATCATTTTGCTAAAACTCCCCCATCCTTTGTAAAATTCATGAAATAGAAAACAAAATCTGAATAAATGATAACCTGCTGAGCCACTTACGTTCACTGTTGTAAATGAAGTTCTTAACTCTGTTTTTTATCTCCAACAGACAAACAACAGAAAGGTGAATTTGCCTTAGAGGGCTACACCATCAGAATGAATAATAGCCTTCGGAAGGATGCAAAGAAAGATTGCTGTTTTGAAATCTCTGCTCCTGATAAGCGCATTTATCAGGTTGGACTTTTTATGTCGACTTGAAATTAAATTGATAAAGCTGTTACAATTCCAGTTACTGAATTAACATTTCAGTAAAACAACTTTCAGTGACACCTTAATGAAAAAAAAAGAAACCCTTGCTTGCTTATACAGTATATTCACATATTAAGAGAAATAATCTGATCTAAAATATGTATGTATGTGTTCAAATATTATCTTTTTGGGGTAAGATTAAGGAAATCTATCATCTTTATCTGTTGGTCATTTCAATGTTGGTATTTTAATATCTATTATATAGTATGTCTGCGTGATTTCTGGGATGAATTAAGTAGTAAGAAAAATTTAAACAAAATATATATCAGTGTTAAATACATATTGTATTGGAAATAACTTTGCAAGGAAAATTTAAAAGCACATATCAGCTGTGCAATTCAGAGATCTATCAGCCAGACATCAATATGGAATGTAAGTTTAATAAGTTTTAAATATCTGAGATTGCAGTTGAAAGCCAGTTAATTAAGCTGTCAGGTAGTGTGTTGGAGTCTGACAAGTACATTTTTAAGGAAACTGTACCCAGCAGTCTGAAGAAATTCATGGGTGTCTTCTAATTGTCAAGGGCAAATTTTGTTCATCAGTTCTGGCTTTGACATTGATGAAGAGAAGCAGCTTTTTTCTGCACAGCTGCCAGCTGCTGATCAGAGTTTCAAATCCATCATCCTCTCCTTCAATTACGTAAATTTGTCAAAATTAGCTGTACATTATAAGAAGCATCCTTGCAAGAAAAGTACCAGAAGACATGAAAAGAATTACTAATGGTTCCTTGAGGAAGTGAAAAGAATGCTAGAATCCTTCTATTGCTAATAAAATTGTATTTGCATTTTTATCATTATTACTACTAATCCATAAATGTTTAATAGTTTGCAGCTGCCACTCCCAAAGAAGCAGAAGAATGGGTTCAGCAAGTCAAATTTGTAATTCAAGGTAAGCCAGTTAGTAAAGAAGTAGTCTTCATGATCATTACTCCTTAGTGAGGGCTCTTCTATCCATTTGTCATGTTTGTGTATTTAATATTCCCACTTGCCCACGTTTTGAATTGCTAGTCCTAGTTCTTGTTGATGTTGAAACTTTTACATGACTTGCCTTGTTTTGTAAGATTTTGTTCCTTTCTCGGTATACTATTGAGCTTTAAAGTTGCCTTTGAACACTGGAAGAATGTAAGTATGTGCTGTAGAACATGAGTTTAAACATTTGGGATTGGCGAGTCATTTATTTAAGCAAGACCTCCATGGAAAAATATATTTATTGATTGATTTTCAGTTATAAATACTATGTTTTCATTTTGCATAAATCATTTATTTTCTTATTTTTCCCYGAATGAATGTTAACTTTTTAAACTGCTGTTGTATAGACATGGAATCTAATACTATTCCTGAGGAGGAGGCAGAGGAAGAATATGATGATGTTGCACATGCGAGCAGTGACCCGGTAGATGACAGCATTTATGAAGAACTTCCAGGTATTGTTGAGATTATGTAAAAATATGTGCCTTGTGGTAATTTTTTCTCTTCTGCTTCTAGCTTAATAACTGAGATTGGCTAAAAGCAAATGGGCAAGGTAACCTGGTGAATGAAATGCATTCAAATTTCAACTTTTGCTGTAACATTGAAAGAAAAAGGTGTCATTAATCAGGCCTGAGTGAGAACAATTCAATTTTCTTGAGCAGGGGAATCAAAATTGTGCAGAAAGTGTAGATGTGGTCTTAGGAGACTTTTGCCTCATTAACATTGTCTCTTGTACTTTTTTTTTTTTTAAATCAAAAAAATAACTTGCTCTTTTTTCCCCCTTCAACTTGCCCATCATTTTTTTTCTGTATTCATTTTGGCATTTGTATTAAGAAGAAATTGCCTATTATTTCATATATCATCAGTTAGGCCTTATATGTGGTCTTGCAATCTTGCAACAAAGCATTGTGTTGCTTTGGAAGGGCTCCAGAGATGATTCATAAATAAAGGCAACAGGAGGATTGTCATTATTTTGTTTAGTATCTTCCAGAATGACTGTGATTATACAACAACTTCTTACTGTGGGCTTCTGGATATAGTCAAATGATTATACCCCTAGATCACCAAGGGGGAATTTCAGATAACAAAACAAAACAAAACAAAACAAAAAACAAAAAACAAAACAAACAAACAAACAAACAAAAAGCTTGTCAAAAATGGTTGGAGTTGATTATAGGCATTTAGAAAGTAGGAGAAAGACTTTCATTCTTCCTTGTATTTTAATAAGATATGCAAGAAAGTACTATCTGGTCGCCCTAATTTAAAAAATGGCATGTGTGGGTGATATGACAATAATTAACAACTTTRTTTAATATAATATTCTGTGTCTCTTGCTTTTTGGGGCCATTCAACTCCCAGCAATAGCTTGAAAGGAACAATCAGCCACAGCATGTGATGCTGACTAACCTTATGCATCTGTTGCATTGAATGCTTTATCCGCTGGAAAAAGTGCTCTTCAGAGTATGTCCTGGTTTTAATTTTATGGTCATTTCAGTGAGCTAAAGGAGCAAATAACAAGAATGGCTGATGAAAATAATAAAAAATTATAGGGAAACTCATTTGTTTAACAGCTAATCAGCCTGTATAACCGGAGAGGATTTTTTCCCCATTATTTGAGTTATGCCTAGACTAGTTCTGCACTTGTTCTGCTGAAATTGGGTGCAGTATGCCATGCTTACTGAAAAATTCTTCCGCAWTAGCTATAAAATTTGCATTACAGAGCTAAACCTTACAGCTGGAAGGAGGCACCCAAAGCTTATTGCAGTGCTTTTTGAGTGCTCAGGCTCTTCCAGGAAAAGATCTTGTATGCTTGCTTATGCTCTAATTAATGAACCTCTAAATGTGTCCTGGGACAAAATACTCTTTGCTGAGCTTCTCATGATTTCACCTATTCATTTGAATCTCCAACAGTCAATAGATCTGTAGCAGCAACACAAGGTATTGATTGAAGGACAAGCATTAAAATACTCAGAGTTTTATTTTCAGAAAGCTGCAGACTTGATGTGATTCTGTGAMAATTTAGAGTGTTTTTAGCTTTACTTCATGTTTATATCAGCTTTCCAAGAACTCTTGTTTGGTATTTCATTAAAGAATGTTTGTATAAGAAAGTGGGTTTAAAGAGAGGATATGAGAATTTTTGCATAGTTTTGAAAATTAGGATTCTGAGAAAACTGTAGCAGCAATCAGTACTGAGTGGCACTGTGTGCACTAGCTGTCATGCTACTTTGCTTTTTTCTCTTGTGTCAGGAAACAACGTAGAACAACAAATTTTCCAGATGGGAACTAATAGCTTCAAACCAGTGTCCAGAATGGCAACAATCTTCTAGCCCATTCAAGGTTTAGATTTTATTTGTGTTAAATTTGTACTCTCTTCTGGCAAGAGGAATAGGTTGGTTATGGGAAAGGATACAAGGAAGCGTGAGAGAATTAATCTCTTGATCTGTTAAGTCACTTTCTTCTTTAATAGGACATACAAATTCATATTTGCCACAGAAGTATCGTTTCCTTGTTCTCAGCACTATTAAAAGAGTTTAATAAGTGCTGTGGTGGTTCAGGTAGATTCAAAAACATCAGAACTGCCAAGATTTCGCAACTTGGAAACCTTCCTTTCAAGATTCTTTGGGAAGGGAAAATTTAACTGCTTTTAGCAAAATAAAATAATTTTGCTTTTCTCTTTTTAAATTTATTTGTATTAATAAAAAGCAGTGGCAAGGGAAAACTTGATCTAGCAGAAATAAAAACATTGTCAATGAAGACTTATTTTTGTTTAAGTAGTTATTCATTTTCTGCCTTACACTTTATGTAGTTTTAGCATGACGAGTATGTGTAGCCAGTCCACAGCTGGCTATTTTAGGCATAGTATACTTAAAGTATATAAAGTATACTTAAAGTTTGTGATATAAAAATAGCTTGTAGAGATTTAAACAGTGTATGTGTGTGTGTTATATGTGTGTAAAGCTCTCTGGCTGCATAGAATCTGTAGTTTAGTGATATTTTAAGCAATGGAGTTATCTTTGTCAGGAAAGGAGATTTTGTCAGCTTTAAATATGTTATCATCTGTTACAGTCCTTGGAGAAAAAAAATCTTGGCTAACCTAGGATTTCAGTGACAGGATTTTTAAATGGCTTCTGTGTTTTCTTTTGAGATTTGGCTATATGTTCCGTGTACCTAAATTTACAATACTAGCTACGCCTGCTACCTTGGTTCTTTCTGCAACCTTAGTATAGCTTATGTACTCTCTACAGCAGTCTTACACAGCAGAAGAAGAGAAGTCTTAGTCTAACTTAATGTGTTTAGTGTTTATTTTCAAACATATGTTTTCTCTTTGTTCTGTCCCTTTCTGCCCCACACACTGGCCTTACAGGAGTCGTGCCCACCCTGTGCACCCAGTTTCCATGGGTGAGAAGTAAGGACGGGGCTGAAATTCAGTGCAGGAATGATCACCAGCCAGGGGAGCTGCTGCGGAGAACAAAGCCAACCCATATAACTTGCAGCCGTTCCCAGTTTGCTGTAAATGAAATTTTGGAATTGATCCAATCTCTAGTTGGCCCAAGAGTGCTGGGAACAGCAAGCTCCCCTTCATCTCCTCATCCCCATCATCAATCCTGTGCCTAACGGTTTGGTCAAGCCCAGGTATCTGGCCAGTAAATCCATTYGGGATTTTTTTGTGTACCTAGGAGCTTAGATTTTTTTTATAACTGGGACAAATCTCAGGGAATGGTAGGAAGTGTTTGCAAGTTTTATGCAACAGAAAGTGTGCTTCCCAAAGAAACACCTCTGTGTGKGGGGGGTCCATGTTGGCTTCTTTTAAGCAGACTTTTTAAAGATTTTTTTAAATTTTGCTCATCTTGTTTTAGAACTTATTTCTGACATTGTGTATGAAGTCAGGATGGATAGGTCACCCTTAAAACCCGTTTTTTTTTCCAAGGTTGGATCTCAGTTTTCTTAAGAAATTAATATTTTCACTTGTTTAGCCATTGCCTTGTTTTAATATATGGGAAATTTTTGCTAATAGTATCTTACCAATAGGAGGAGTACCAAAAAAGAATAAGGGGTCCTACCAGGGTTGCCTGCCTTGCTGTAAATCTAAAAGAATTCAAGCAATACAGAAGCAGTGAAAAGCAGATGTAAACTACTTGTCAGGAAGGGATGACAGAGAACAGAAAGATTTTTTCTGTCTATAATGTGAGGTTTTRTTGTGTTGATCCCTGGGATTTGAGGTCTACTAAATGCCTTTTATTGTTTGTCAGACACAGAAATCACTGAAATGTAGCTTCTTTCAACGGCGTATCACTGAAGCCCAGCTTCAGAGATGATTTGGAGCAGTGTCTCTGAATTCTCTGACGCTTTGGCTTTTGAGGCAGTACTTCTGCGGGTTTTATATGCAACACAAAGTACCCTTCAGCTGGCAGTAAATGCTCATAAACACAAGGCATGAGTTGTGAATCCAGAGAACTTTCTGTATTTAAACCCAATGCATGGTGAAGATGGTTAGGAATGTGATACCTGGCCCTCAGCCTTTGCCACAAGAGTCTGAGCTTGATCCTGCATCTAAAGAGGGATCCTTTTCTTTGCACTGATGTTAGGTGAAAGTGTCAGTGATGGAGGAAGAGGTAAGGCAATCTGGTGCAGCTGAAAAGAAGGAGATGTCCCCTGAGTGGGAAGTGGCAAGTCTTTGAGGGAGAAAATAGTGCTCAGAGGCTCTTCGGGGCTTCTTGCAAATTGATGGTCTGTGGAAAACAGGCGGCCCGTAGCTGTCAGGAGGTCTGCTGTCCGTGATGCAATTAGAAAGGAGAGGAAAAAATTAAAAAGACATTATCACCTCCTCATGCACATTGACAAAAAAACAAGCAAGTAAGCTAATAAAAATGGGATCATACCAATAAATATTCAAATTTATTCTAATTTGCATTTGGGGGACATATTTGCTGGTTGGATTTGCTTGTGGGATCTGGTGCTGAGAAGTACTCTCAGGAAGAAGTATTCAGTATCTAGGAATATACTTGGGCAAAATAAATGTAAGATAAATGGCGCACAGACTTTGTTCACAAAGCTTTGTTTTTAACTTTGTGTACATTTATCCTGGACATATGATGTTAGATGCATAACTGTTGCCACGTGCGTAACTGTTGKGGTCCACTACTATTTATAATGACCCATTGCAATGATAAAGAGTCAAATCTTTTTTATTCGAAAGTGTGCACCTCATTTGTTGTATTTGCTCTTCATTGTTTGCTTGGTCAGTGCTGATGCTCAAAGTAGCTCTGTATTTATTTTCTTTTCCTTTTCAAGGCAGATACATTGCTTATTCTGAGCCTATGCCTTCAGAATTTTAATGACTGAATCTTCCATATTCCACTTTTATAGTAGTTGAAGGGAAGGGGTCTTTATCTGCAAGAAAATTCAAAGCAGTTCATTACAACATCTACAATAAACAGAAAAYGTGTGCTATGAG